ATAGGATAAGCAATGGAATTATTTTATTTACTCTTAACTCATGTGGTATAAAATTTTGGCTAAAAGCATTAGAAATTATTGATAAAAACTAAAAAAACTTGTAACCCTTACTTACAATGCCGATAAATATCCTAAACTAAAAATAAACCCTGCTCTGTCAAAATGCTGCGCTTGAATTAATTTTGACGTAATGACATTTGTTTGGAGTTCCGACATTGGCAACTCGTCTATCATCATAATATTATACTAATAAACTAGTTGTTCTTTATTTCGTTCAATTAAAATTTAATAAATAATCACTAAATATTCCGTGCGATTATAATTAATATAATTAATACAACGTGATTGCTTTGTATGAAATTCTAAATTAATTTTATTATTTGACGTCTATTGAGACACCTATGGATTTACTTCTATCCCTAGGCTTTTTTGAGTTTTTTGTCTGCCGCTAATGAAAAAGACGCACTTCAACTATCTCTATACAGGCATATAAGGTTGTATATCATGGCCGCTTGAAAAAAAAATAATGTTTTATCGAAAGGAAAGAAATTCACACGCCAGTCTTGTTTATTCGGTCCATTACCAGACCCAAGTGACCTAATTGTTCGGGCACAGCAGATGTATTTTTATTAATGTTAGGTATAATAAAACTTTTAATTGGTGTACAAGTAAAGTTACAATATATGATAACTCTGATTTCGACACGGAAAGAGAAGCAAAGATACTTCAAATAAACAGACAACAATAAAAAATGCATGTATTATTACTAGTTGCTGTTCTACGAAAGAATACTTAATTTTCATCTTAGTCTTTTTGGTCGTTCAATAAACTTTTAAATCGTGGAATGCTCTATTTAATAGTTCAGCTTCCCAATGGGTCGTACGAAGTACTATTTTATCGCGCAATGTTTACTTTGGCGTGTGATGTCCTCTATTTTGATAAGCGATACATTCTTTTGGCATACAATACACTATTTTGGCGTACAATAATATATTTGTAATTGAAATTGATTTATTTATGGTACAAAATTTTTTTGGTCGCAATACATATTTTTCTGTCTCGAAGATAAATCACACCCTCGACTAAATAGCTTGGCTAGCGTATTCTTCTACCAATCGACATGTTCGACATTGTTCGCGGTTCAAACCCCAGACTGGGTTTTTATTTTCTTACTCTTTTAAAATGAATTAGTCAAAAATATCTAATTATAAGTCATATTTGACTAATTGTCATAGCGAAAAAGCAGTCACTAATAACTAGTCAAATTCCACTGAATGAAATGAAATTAGTTGATTTAAATTTAAAAAGCCGGGGATTAAACTCAGGTCTGTCACTTGTCAAGGTTGTGAAGCTGTTTTCATAACCAATGTGGCTATGTCACTATTATAAAAATCAATTTTATTTGTCAGTAAATATTGTTAATAATATTTTAAAGTTGAATATACACATAGATTCAAAAGTTTTGCATCACCCAAAATCTCCGAAAGTATTTTTTTAATCAGTAAAAATGGATTAGAGACTTATTAATAAATTAGTTTTAATTAAGGAAACATTTACAATACTTGTAAAAAAAATTATTACGCTTAAAAACTTTTTTTTAAACATAGGAGGATATAACGGTTCTGTTGTTGATTACTGACATGTCTTCTACCGCTTCTAGGTCTATCACGAAGAGAATTATTCTGGAGATAGCGATTCCAGGTGCGAGACTCATCACTTTGCCAAACACCAACTCTAGTAGCCACGATCCTTTGAGAGTGATCTTCTTCAAATAAATTCACTATTTTTGCACAGTCAATCTTAGTTATGACTTGTCGAGGCATCTTTGCACGTGAACTCTTTAAATTTAACTGTCTTGAGAGAAATAATCGCACCAAAAATTTTAACTTAGGTACAAAAAAAAAAATTATGTTGCTGTTTTGAGCTAAACTTTTTGCATCTTTTTTTGTTTTTATGGGCCATTTAACCATGGAGCCTATATGCATTTAATTCAAATAATACTTTTTTGTTGGCCGCAAACGATTAAAGAAATTAGTTAACTCTCAGAAATAGTCAAAGATGGTGACTAATCTTAAATTAGTCAAACTTTAACTATTTACGTAGTAAAAAATAACTATTTAAAAGTGAAACCCACCTTCTCCATTACTCACTTCCCTTGAGGGTATTAAGAAACTAGGTATTTCTTAAATATACAAAAGTGCTCTTTTAGTTCCACCCTTACTTCCTAAGAAGTCCCAGAAGCCTACTGAATGGCTTGTGCGGGTTAGGGGTAGGAACGGACCGAGGGCTTAAAGTCCCCTTCGAAGGACTATTACACAATATGACAAACACACAAATGTTCAGTAATATCAAGTAAAAAATAACAAAGTGACAAAAACAAACCTAAAATGTTTTTTATCAAAACATTTTCAGTCCGCAATTTTCAAAAAAATCAAAATTGCAAATTAACCATAGACAATAAAATATATTCTGGGGGTTTAAAATGAAGCAAAAAGTTTGATAAAAGATGAAATTTGCTGAAAAATGTAAAATATTTGTTTCCCTCTTTGTAACCCCATCGGTGGACTCTGTTTACCTATATATATTTTATCATTTTTTTATTTTCCAGATATGTTTTAAAGGAACTGGGTCATACAGACAAACTTGATAACGTAAGTCAATATCTTTTATAGCTATTCTATACTAACATTAAAATGTTTAATATCTTTAATAAAGTACTTATAATTTTAAAAAAATTGTCGCTTTTGCAATAGTTAGCCGCACACGCTGATGGCATATAAACCCGTCACGTTGGTACAGTTGGCGTTTTCAACTTAAAAAATATATAATCTTCCAAACTTTTTTTTTTAAATAGTGATATTATTAGCTTTATACGAAAGCGTACTGGGGTCACAAAATTATAATAAAATTAGTTTTTCAATATATTTCATTTATTTCCAATATATTGAAAATAAATCCAATATATTGGAAATAAATTCAATGTATTGAATGTAGTGTCCAATTGGGTTGAAGGGCAAAGTCAGTAATACATCACGTACCTTTTAACACCTTTATTGTTAGTACATCGTAACATCACGACTGGGGACCAACTATGCTGTTGGTGACCTAGTTTGGTCTTACCTAGCACCAGTATTGACCGATCAGCAATACGTGTACAATACGTGTACTGACGTGGCCAATACAACGCACTACATCTCCCCTTTCGAGATGAATGGACTTTATTTTGGCCTCAAATAAAGAACATTCATAAAATGTTGGTTTTATACAAACACAAATATCAACTAAACCTAAATAAATTAATCCTAGATAACTAAACTTAACAACCACTAACTGACCTAAGATACAAGATAAAATTACGTGTTGGAGTAGTAATTTGCATTTTAGCGTTATTTTATTTGGGGTCTTATTACACTCAATGTCATAACGTTTATCACTTATCTAACAGCACTTTTGTTTATTTACGCACTCACTTTTACTCCACTATGCAATTTTTTTATGCTAAACTATACTAGGTATATTAACAACTTATATAATTTGCAAAAGTAAATACTTAACCTTAGTTTTTATTAAACGGTTTTATTCTATTTTTATGCACCGTTAAGTGTTTACCTTTATATAAAACAGTACAATTAACTCCGTCACAACTTATAACTTGGTAAGGACCCTTATACCACGGATCAAATTTAGTTCTAGTCTCATTTCGAATCATAACGAAGTCTCCTGAATTAAACTGAGATATTTTTGAATTACGGTCATAATCAGATTTACGTTTGTACTTGGCTTTAAGAATAAAATCCCTGGCGCGTATATTAGCTGTTTGCAGCCTATATCTTACTTCTTGGTAATATGCATCTAGGTTATACAGAGGATCAATGGAGTTATTCGTCAACGATTCTGGTACGTTGGCTTGCTGGCCAAAAACTAGCTCAAAAGGAGTGTAATTATGATATATGCTGGGTGTCGTGTTATAACAAAAACTGTAATAGTTTACCCACTCATCCCAATCAGTACGAGAATCGTTAATGTACATTCCGATATATTCGTTAAGAACACGATGGTTTCTCTCACATCCTCCGATTGTCTCACTATGATAAGCTGTAGAAAACTTTTGGCTTAAATTCAATATATTGAAAATAAATCCAATATATTGAAAATAAATCCAATATATTGAAAATAAATTCAATATATTCAAAATTTGGCTTTCTTTTTCTACTACTAGGGGCGCTAATTTCCATTTTATCGTCGCCGGTAATGCAGGTACCGTTACTGTCAAATTTTATATCAGTTGACAGCACTTTTTCTTGGTTTGTTTTGGACTTACTTAAATAAAAATACATAAATATGAATGAAGAAAATGCTTGCAAGTATTGTGACCGGTTATTTTCTAATAGATATGTGAAATTTAAGAAGATATAACTTTATTTATGCACATATATGTGCATAAATAAATTGAGTTCATATTTTGAATCTTAACTTTGATGCTCAAGGACTAACATTTTCCTTGTTAAATGAGTTTTATTCGTGGAAGACCAAGAAAGAAATCGAAACTATTACGAAATTCCTCTATTGTACAGTTACGGAAAGAAGTAGGGTTAAACACACAGTTTTGGCCACGTTAAGAAAATTTTTGTTTTTATTTGTTAACAAATAAAAGTATTTATTTAATACAACTATGACAATTGCGTAGACATATAAAGAAATTGTTTTAGAATTAATTGTTTATTGAATAAAAACAAGTGTAGCTTTCTAACATTAAAATAAATTAATTTAAAATTTGTTTTGCCATTTTTGCCAATTGTGGCCACTTAATTCCCTTTTCTGGACAGGTAGAAGTATAGATTTGGCCACAAGCAATAACTAAAAAATACTTTCAGTAGAAAAACACTTTAATGTAAGAAGTTTTCCTTTTACAAAAATTAAGAACTAGTTTTTTTATAAAAAAAATTAGGACAAACTAAAAAACAGATTTAAAAATATTTTTGTTTTATTTTGTTTCAAAACTAAAATATTTTGAAGTCCTCATATTTTGACATTTCTGGCACCATGTAGGCACCTCTCGAATTTTTTTTTATAGGTTCCCCAATTACTTCTTTTATTTGATCTTTAGTATAAAATAGCTCATCTGTTTCTTCAGGCCATTTCCAATCTTTAACTCCACTTTTGATCATGGTTGAAACTAAAATTCCTTCGTTTTTGTCTTTTCCTTTTTTAATTTGTCCTGGATAAAAACTATTTTCGTACTCTACAATAACAAAACTTTCTGGATTTAGTTTATTTGTACTCTTACTATTAATATATTTTTTTGAAATTTCTTCTTCAACTTCATTTAACATATTTTCCAAAGACTGTTCTTCTTTCTTTTCTTCCTTTTGCTCTTTACAATTCTTTGCTGGTTCTTGTTTTGCCGCTTTCTTTGAAACCCTTTCAGATGATTTGAGTCTTTTTATAGATTTTCGTGCTTATAGTTGTCTGTCTAGTCTATTTTCTTCTCTTTTTTGTTTTCTTTCTTCTTTTTTTAGGAGAGCATCTTGTTTTTCTTTTTCTTTTTTCTCTGCAATTTCCACCCATTTGTCTGATGTTAATACACTTGGCATGTAAACATTAACCTTTTTACTTTTTTTGTTTGTAGTTGAGTTGCCATCACAATATATCAGAATATCTTTTAACGTATCATTTAAACTTTTATTTTCCATTGTCACTGCATGCTGTGCCTTCTGATCAATCTTTTCTTCTTTATTTACAGGGTAGTCATTTTTTTCTTTTATTATTATATCACTGATAATATTAATATTCGTTTCATGTTTACTTTCTTTAGAATTTGTTTGAATTTTTGATGTCTTCATTTCATATTTGCTAGTTTGCATCTTCAATACATTCTCCAATACTTGATCTGAATTCAAAACCACAGTCTCCGTTTTTACATTGTCTTCTAAACATTTTTAATCTTTATCTTTTTTCTTTTTAACTATATCACAGGTAATATCTTTGCACATCTTTGAATTAGTAATATTTTCATTTTTAACAGCAGGTACTAGGTTACATGTATTTATAGGAAATTCATTAAGATCATATTGAGTGTCCATATTCTCTGAAATTGCATTTTGATCAAATTCAGGAAAGTCAAATTCGAAGTTGGTTGTTGTATCAGTATATACATATATTTCGTTGGAATTTTCGGAATCTATATTTTTATCATGTCCCAAGAAAGCTGCATCTGTATGTTCTGCTTTAAATTTTAGCCATACCTCATATAAGCCATGCCATTTTTCCATACAAGGTTCAGTATTTTGCTTCTCGCACCTATAGAATTCTTCAAGCAGAGAGGTTGCAATTTTTCTTTCTAAATTTCCAAGATAATCAATATGAATGTCTACATTATCTACCACAATGCCTGTGAAATTGTTAGTTGCTTCATCTTCGGCAGTTTTATGTATATATTTGCATTTACTATAGTCCACGGCATTTGGGTTAAAAGGATAAAGACCACATTTTCTGAAAGCTAATGTAAATGGTGTGTTAGTTAAAATACTGTTTAGAAGTTGAGGCACGTCTTGTTTTCTTATTTCAAAGCAGTCATGTTCATAACACTGACATTTCAGTGGAAAAAACACTGCAACATCTAGCGGTTGCAATATATGAGTAGTATTAGGTGGAAGACAAACAACGATAATACCATTTTCACGGCAGAATTTACTTAATTTTTAACTCAAATGATATGAGTGGCCATCTAAAAATACAATAACTGGAAGAGTGTAGCCCTTTTCAATTAAAAATGGATGAAATACATTTGCGAAATACTCGTAAAAAATTTTGGAAGTCATCCATCCATTTTCAGATTTTCCTAAACTCCAACCTTTAGGTGCTGCTTTTACGTATGACAATGGAAGACGATCAAACTTGTATATGGTTAGGGATGGTGCAAATTCTCCTGTAGCATTTACGGTTATTAAATTGGTAATATTTTCCTTGTCGCAATTTGCTGATGTCCCATAAACTTGCTTGCCTTTTTCTGCTATAACAATGCCACTTGTTGGGTTTAGGTAAAAGGCGGTTTCATCCATATTCCATATTCTTGCGGGATCTTTTAATATTTCAACGTCTTTATCAAGTAAATTTAATGTTTCTTGGAATCACCCTCGAATTTTATCAGAAGTTATATTTGCACGTGCTTTATTGACATATTCTGCTTGTTTTAATGACAAATCTGGATGCCTTTTCATAAACAATCGAAACCATTTATTTCCTGGAGTGCCATTTTTAAAAAAAGATATGTTTTATTTTCTATCCTGAACAATACGTTTTACTGAATAAATAAGCCCATCCTTATCAATAGGAAACCCCCTTCTAGCTGAAGATCTTATCCATTCAGCCAGCTCGTCCTCCACTTGCTTTCTCAGAGCACTACCTGGACCTACTTTTCCTGTTGTTTCTGGAACATTACCAGCAATTTTGTGGCGAAGTGTGGATCAAGGGACATGAAATGTTTCAGCCGCTTTCAAAACTTCCATGCCATTTATTATAGCTTTTAAAGCGGCTTGCAACTGGTCTGCTGTGTATGAAAATAGTTTTCGTTTTCCCTTATCTTTGACCCGTTTTTTAGATTTTGATTTGGCCATTATTTAATCTGCAAAAAAACTCAATTTACCCGAATATCTATACAAAATTAAAATTATTTAGTTATGTGGCCACAACTGGAAAGTATAGAAGCTAGTTTTGACCACTAAAGTGATCACAACTGGTTTTTAAGAAAATTTAGGAACCCATTTGTGGCCACCTATATTATTTCTAATTTATCGTTAAATAACCTTAAAATTTCTGTAAACTTACAACCCAATATTATTACTAAAAAAACGTATTGGGTCATATAAAAAAAACTAAAACAGAAAATAATGGCAAAGCTTTTTACATACCTCAGTTCCTTAACAATTTGGTTAAGAAAAAGCTTCAAATGCGCCACACTTAACTTACACCTGATCTCAAGCGGCCATGTTTATATCAACTAGTGGCAATTTTGGAAACTAATTCTTTAAAATTTTAATTTTTCGCGCCAAACTTTAGATCGCATGTCCACCTAACTGCTTTCTTAATACAATTAATAAACTGTCAATATGGCCACAACTGGTACAGTGGCCAAAACTGGGTGTTTAACCCTAATGTCCATTTGAATGCTCCATTGTAATTGTTCGGAGGCGTTCGGAATTAGTCAACATCTGCCTCTTAAAATTTATTTAAAAATATGTCTATATTTAGAATTTACTACCTGCTCGTATTGAATTAATTATTTTCGGTATATTAACATATTTAACTGTATTTTTATTAAATCGTTAATTTTTTGATATATTTTTGTATGGTTTTATAAACATTTATTCTATGAAAAAACTTTTAACAACAACTTTTTAGTCTATAAATAATATTATCAAGTCGTAGTTTTTTAAAACTTACTTTACATTTTTCAGAACTAGCAATGATTCAATGCACTATTCTACATCAAATTAGTAAAAAACACATTTTATTATTTGTTGCACTTTTATGTGTTAAAATTAAAAACATATATTAAAAATTTTTATATTTGATATATTTTTAAATTAAATATACTAGGATTTATCAAAAAATGTTTAATATAATTTTAATGTAAAAGTTAACATACCAATAAAACTATAACATACCTACATATTAAAACTATAAAACATATAAACATAAATAGGTATAAAACTATAAAATATATATTTTTTATTTCTACATATTTATTTATTGCTCTTTTATTATGTGTAGAATAATGTGTATTTTTATTTGTGTTTATTTTTATTAAAATATTATTTAATTATTAGACTTGTACAAAAAAATCTAATATTTATTTTTAAAGTACCTCAAAAATATTGTTCAGAATCTCAAAAAAATGGTCCTGTTAAAATGTAAGCTCTTAATATTACATTTACAGGTCCCTCATCGGAAATTTTTATTTCCCATTAAAATAATATGAGATTTTTTAAAATACTTTAAAATTGTATAACTCGTTAACGGATTAGTGGACCAATGCAAATCTGCTCAAAGACTTGTTGCTTGTCCTTAAAAGATACATATCTCCCCAGTATATTTTGATACGGACGTATCAGCGTAAAGAATAATTTGTTCGTCACTTGTTATCGATTGCACGACTTTATCTTTAGCAAGCAAGGTATTTTTAAATTCACACTCAAGTTGTTTATTATCATTTACAAAAGTATCCACTCTCTCAGTTTTAAGATAAATTCTGGGAACCTTTGGAGAATTCTCTTCGAGCATTTCCAGGATGGTTTTCTCTGGAGAAACAAGGTTATTGGATGAATCTACCAACTCGAAAGAGAATTTATCTTCAGTACCCTTGGAAGATTTTCCGTCCGGAAAATAAAGTTTTTTTCCCAGTTCTATAATTCCCATTTTTTTTTGTAATCTTTGGGCATAGATAACAGCTACCTCTGTGTTCCAAACCAGATATAATTGCCTAGTAGACTTCGTATTTGTTAACTATACGTTTATTGCGTATAGCTGCTAGACGTTCCCTAACATTTTTTATTAGATGTTCTTTTCTCTGCCCTGAAGTATTTAATGTTTTAACGAAATTCCTAACTAAGACACGATCTCCTGCAATTTTGAAAAACCAGGCTAGTTCCTCGTCGGTCATTAATGATATAACATTACTTTCGATCTGTAAAAAAGATAAATCAAATATAGGTAATTGTTGGAAGGAAATCTTTTTTAAAACATACCTTCTCGTCTCTTAAACGTTGAATATCAGCTTCGCTAACATGCAAGGTGTTTATCATATAACTTTCTAAATCCATTTCGTTTCTAGGTACAGATGAACTGTAAATAAAAAAACATATTTTATTTAGGTTGCATTTTTATTTATTTTGGGCAGAATATTTATAATAAAAGCAGTGGCGGACTAAGAACGTCGGGGGCCCGGGGCGATAAAAGCAAATGGGGCCTGCTTAGACTAAAAAAAAGATTTTAGTTAAAAAAAAGTGTTTCAATAACTAATATTAAATTTGTTAGTGGATCCTTCGCTACTGCCCCCCTTAAGATGCAAAATAGGCCTCCAATTCCAAATGAAAAAAAATTTCAGCGTTATTCGCTAGTAGCACAACGTGACGATGTTTTTCTAGGGTTGACGAAATGGAGACAATAATACGTTAGGCCCCAGGAATTTTAAAACCCAACTTTTTATACTTAAATTATATTGCTAAAGAAAATATTTGTTTTTGTTTGGTTTTAAACTAATACAAAATTTCAGTTGTCTAATATCTAACCCATCATTTGAGTAACATTTTCTGAAATTTCTTGAAAAAACCGATGTACTTATTAATATGGACAATAATATAGTGCGGTTTCGTTGCGACGTCCAGCGTTCGCGGGCGTCTACATTAAAATTATCTAAAATTATAGTAGTCGTTTGTCATATTTTGAAGCGAGTGAAGAAAAATGGATCCGAAACACACATTGGCAATATTTTTGCTTGAAGATGAAGAAGATTATGTAATTCCTATGTTATTAACGTCCAGAAGAAAAGAAACTGACGAATTAACAAAAAGCCAAAAAGGATATTATAAAGTTCTAATGAAAAACCATCTTGAAGCAGATAATGAAAAGTTCTGTGGCTTTTTTTGACTTAATAAAGAGCAATTGGATTTTGTTTTAACTCTTATTTGTAAAGATATAAAAAAGCAGTCCACAAATAGTGTGAAAATTTCAATTTGCCCGAAGGAAAAACTTGATTTAACACTTATATTAATATTTCGTCATCAACATTAGTACAATTTTTGGACATTTTCACTAATAAATTTACTATTATAACATTTATTTCTCTCTCCATAAATTTAAACTGGAAAAACTTGGTTAGCGTTCGCGTCCCGGCTTGTTTTTGAGCAGTCGAGACGTAGCCGTCGACGGCGGGCTGCTGCGTCTTCCAGACGAGCCACTAGGTGCGATTAGGTGCGATTAGACGTAAGCGATTAAGCGCCGCGTTTAAACGCCTCGACTACTCGCCCAAAACAGACCGTACCTTTAACGAAATCGCTGCCATTGCAATGCATTATAGCAGTGCTCGACGGCTGGACGCCGCGGCGGGCCGCGAACGCTGGACGTCGCAACGAAATCTCACCTTTAGCCGCCGGCATTAAATTCTGCGGCTTGCCGCTGCTTACAGCAGGTATACCGCTGAACTAAATACGACTTCACCAAGCTGGCTTGGTCAGTAAGTTATTTCTTCTTAGCGAGAATGTTTGACGATGACGACATTCTATTAGGGTATTTGGCTCTAAAAATCATTACTGACAAAACACAGATATCTATATATATTAGACTGGTTCAAAAAAATCGAATATTTTTTTTTCTTCAAAGCCCGCATTAAAATATCTTCAGAGTAGTAAAAAAAGAAGCCTGTTAAAATTGTAGCTCTTAATATTAATATTTAGAGGTCGCTCATCGTGAATTTCTATTTTACGTTTAAATAACACAGGAATTCTGTTTTCTTAACTTTGAAATTTTATAACTCGTTTTTGAGTGAACTTATTGGAATGAAATCTATATATTTTTAAAGAAAATTGAACGTTCTACAAAAAATATCTTTTATAATTTTTTCGTAAATTCACTCCTTTAATAGTTATTCAAGGTTGAAATTAAACATATAATAAATGTAACGTTTAAATAACAGGAATTTTTTTTAACTTTTAATTTTATAACTTTTTTTGAGTGGACATATTGGAATGAGCGATAATTTGTTTTAAAGAAACATAAAAAAAGTTTACAAAAATCTGGATTCGAACTCACACTAAGCAGGTTACAGTACAGTACAGTAATTTCAACCTTGAATAACTTAATTAAAGGAGTGAATTTACAAAAAAATTATAAGAGACATTTTTTGTAGAACGTTCAATTTTCTTCAAAAATATATAGAGTTTATTCCAATATGTTCACTCAAAAACGAGTTATAAAATTTCAAAGTTAAGAAAAATGAATTCCTGTGTTATTTAAACGTAAAATAGAAATTCACGATGAGCGACCTCTAAATATTAATATTAAGAGCTACAATTTTCACAGGCTTCTTTTTTCACTACTAGGAAGATATTTTAATGCGGGCTTTGAAGAAAAAGAAATATTCGATTTTTTTGAACCAGTCTAAAATATATATATATATATATATATATATTTGGTACTTTTAAATGAATTAGGAGATGATTATGTGCCTGGCCAATGTACTACAAGAAGCTTCTTTCAAAATTTTATTAGGATGAATATTTCATAGTTTGAGGAACTAATTTATTTAATTGAACCAAAAATTGCGAAATTAAATACAAGTTACAGGGATAATTTATTAAAATATAGAAAAGCCGCACAGGCCGCAGAAAATTTCTTTGATCTTTACCGACATTTAGCCGCTAGAAAAAATAGGCCGTTGGCTTCAAAACACATTTTACTTATATTTACATAAGCCAGTTTGGTGGGTTCCCGCCTTGAGGTATAATATTTGTATTCAATCATTTTAACTGGACTTTTTGTATTTTTACTAAAATTTTGATAAATGTGATGAATTTTGCTAGTAAAAAATATTTGAATTTGCTGTTTGATATTAGATTTAAGTTTTTGTAATATTTTTTTAATTTTTTTATAACTGTGTTATTTGTTATTGCCTAACAACGTGAATAATGAGTTTATTATTCCCGTTGTTAGGCATGGCGGTTATAATGGTTACCATTGTATAGAAAAAAACAAATAATGTCAATAATATGTTCTATTTCTATTTTCTTTAGGTAGGTTATTTTATTTAGTTTATTTTAGGTAGGTATGTCAAAGTTATAACTGTGACATAAACTAAAATTGGATTAATAACGATGTTACCTTTTTTTAAGTAAATCGGAAATAATTAGCGCAAAAAAGTATTACTTAAAAAATGCGACTACCCCCCCCCCCCCAGACTCAAAGTCTGGATGCGTCACTGCCCTCGTAAAACATAAAAACAAAAATTAATTTTTGTGACAATTTCGTGTCGTAAGAGTCGTGACGATTTTAAAAGAAAACTTAACCTAACTTTTATTCCTCAACAATTTCTGATTTTACTCACAAATTACTCACAACTTCAAAACACTCAATTTTTCCGTAAATTTTGAATCTCTATTAATACTTGAGACTTATTAATATTAAAAATTAAATTTATTTAATACATGCACTTAATTAAGTTACCTACCCACTTAAAACTTACCCAGATTATCGTTAGTAGGTACTTAAATGATGAACACTCACTAGAAGGCTGGGAACTATTTGAAATCTATTTGATACTTTTTTAAGTTTTTTAAAAACACATTAACATTAACATACTAAAACACATTGAAATACATTAACCGGTGAATCACTAGTGCGCACACACAGAGTACCAGTGTTGCCAACTGGAAAATAACAAATAACGCTACAACAATATAAAAATTCCGCTACAGCCGAATCTTTGAATACATTTTTTTTAATGCAAATAAAAACAAGAAATGTTAAGCAAAATACTTTATTCAAGTAATAAATATAAAAAAACAGGCAACATTAAAATCCCTATAGGGATTATAACATATAACCAGAAAATTAAAATAAACAAGCAATATTAAAACCAAAACAAAAATATTCCAACGATGGAACACCCGCCCGCCCGTATGCCGCAGTAGCATTTATAGATGATAGAAGTGTAGAACACACGACTGAACTTGGTAAACTTAAAAAAGAGTTTTTAATCGAAATTATTCTGTCAAAGAAAATACCAATGGGTGTTATTGTGTCTCCAGAGCTACGCATGTCCATAGAGAACAGTGACCAAGACGATTTTCACGACTCAAGTGATGAAATAGTGAAAAATAAGGTTCCTAACCCTAAAAGTGCATTGGAAGTGTTAACATTGGAGAATGACTTAAAAGTAGCCCAAATTGAACTAAAATATGCAAAAACAATGATAAATCGACTAGAACAAACCGTGAGCGATAAAGACTTAATAATAAAACTAATAAATGATGATCTCTACAAGAATGCATCAGGAAACCAGAAAAGCGGCGTTGCCGTTGTGACAAAAATATCCGGAAAACAACCGAAACAAAACGAGACTCCTAAAATTGCTCCAAAACAACCCGAAAAGCCTAAAATTGTGCCAACTACACCCACAAATGAAAAACCGAGCGAGAAACCTAAGATTTCCGGAATTACAGGAAATGAAGAAAGGATTCAATGAAAAAGTAAACGTAAAGCGATTAAATATGGTACTGGTGTGACAGACAATACTCTTGCTGCCTTTATGCCAATGTCCCATATTCACGTTTCGAAGGTAGGACTCAACAACACCAAAGAAGATATCATAAACTTCATCCAATCCAAGCTTCAGATTACAGCCGATTGTGAGGAACTTCAGGTCAAATCTAATAGCTACAAGAGTTTCAAGGTTTCCGTACCAGCAAATGTATCCTCTAAACTATTGGACACTTCCCTTTGGCCCCCTAACATTGCTATAAAAAAATTTATAACTTACAATAGAAATTTTCAAGTAACTACCAGCACAATAAATCAAATTTGATACTTGATGAATGTAAAGATCACAAACTTTTTCATCTTAATATTCAATCAGTCAGGAACAAGGTAAATGAATTAGAGTCTTTTTTAATTGACAAAGAAATCTCCATTATATGCTTAACAGAACACTGGTTGAACAGTGATGAAATTGATCTATTAACATTGATTAACTATATAATGGCCTCATCTTATTCTCGAAGCTTTTCTAAAGGTGGTGGCTCTTTTATTATGGTTGGACCAAATCTAG